GAAATATGACTGTATTTAAAAATTCCAGGTATCCTGTATATATAACTTAATATGTTTACAGATATTATAGTAATGCAAGTGCTCTCCTATGTATGAACAGGTTCCAAATTAAATTAATTTAATATATATTTATTAAATAAATTGATACTAAAAAGTCTAAAAATATAATGAAGTAATTTGAGTGTTATTTGAATGATATGTAGCCTAATATATATCAATAATTTATAACTTATATAAATTCATTCTGATATTTTAATCTTTAAAATTTAATTTTTAAAAATTAGTTTTATATTCTTGAAATTTTAATTATAAGAAGAATAATTTTTACTAATTAAAGATGATTTTTGACAACACATCATTTGTAGCAAATTAAATAATTTTTTTTTTTTTGTGTATGTTCTGTTAGCTGTTTTAATTAATTTTGTTACAAAATTGCTTTTACTGATTCAACAAAAATTATTAGTAAAGTGTATTTAGTTTAAAAATAAATCTAAAATTATTTTTTGTAACTGAATTTTGCAAAAATTTCACAATAAATCACTTAAAGCTATGTAAAAATTAAAAATTATTTTTATTTCTCTGTGAAAGTGTTTTTACATAAAAATTAATCTATATTTTATACACTAACAAGTATTAAAAAATATCAAAAAATCATATAAATGCAATTATAATAATACAAAATGAGTTTTTGTTAAAATAAAAATAGTTTCTGTAGTTTTATTTATATATTAATAAATGTAAAAAAATATTAATAATTTCATTTTTATCTTATAAAACAACATTATTGTGAAATTCAGAACTTTTTCTCTAATAATTAATTTAAACAGAATTTTGTTGCACTAATAGTTTTTATATCCTTTATATAAATAAAAAACAAATTTTAGCATCATAAAAACTATCCTGTTTTTATGCAGTTGAAAGGATTCTAGCATAGTAAAAGCTATGCATAAAGATCTAAAAGTGCAGAAGGGGTGGAAATGTTTAAACTTTTTAAACAATTAAAAATATTTTTAAGCTTCTTATCCTGAACAATTATCTCAAATAACACTGCACACTAATTCTTTTCACGTGTCAATACAAATCCCTTCAAATAACTCTAAAGCCGAAATTAAATGTTGAGTTTTATCACATCTGCCACACAGTTTTATCTTTCGTATATTATTTTTCGTTTGATGTTAGCAAAATCTCCCTTATTAATTTCACTTAATCCTACCCGTTACACCCGCAACTTGTTCACCTGTATACAATGTTAATCTTAGACATTTCCACGGTCTTGTTCTCCTAAAACAATTTGATTGATCTAGCGAAGCAAATCCCCCCACCTTTAGTTATAGTATCTTATTAGATCACCACCCCCAAACAAACAATACTTTATTAGTGCATCTTTCTTTATAGGAGTTTATATATGTATCGGTTAGGTACAGACATAGTAGAAGACCAACGATAACAAGAAGAATAGAAAAAAAAATCGCATTAAAGGGGGTCATCTTTTATCTGGCGTTAATCTTAATGAATTTGTTGATATTTAGTAAGTTTAAAGAGTTGAACAGTACCCCTCTGGCTGAAAGATTTTGTTTGACTTGGCGGATAATTAAAAATTTCTCGCATGGACGACCAAAGTGTCAATTCTCTTTCGGTAATCTGACTGCGGAATCGAGTTAATTTCTCTACCATAATTAACAGCGTTGATGTAACACTTTAGCTACACTCGATATTAGAAGCTGGCGACATATCTAGCGATCAATAAGAAAGCCGACAACATGGACAATAAATTGATACGATGTTGAATTATTACTGATGAATGGATATTCGTCGCTTGAAAGAAGATATCTTCAGCTAAGAAGTCAAGCTTCCTTAATTCTCTTTCAAATTAAAACGTGTCACTACTCCGTATCGATATAATAAATATTTGTATGAAATGTTGCAGTTTGTTTGTTACTTTCTTTATCCCAAGTTACTATATCAATGTTGAAGCTTATGAAGGTCTCCATTACAATTGGTCTAGACTTATTGTATTGTCATTTATAAATAATTAATTAAAGCAGTTTCTATATTTATGTCTACTTTTAGGTTTATATACTTTTATGTATCCTCTCATATAAAATGAACTTTCTTTGTTTATCGTTGCATAAGATAAACAC